TCTTTCCCCCTAAATACTAGACATTTCAGGTGACTATTTTTAAGGATCTTGAGAACCAAATGACATAGAAACATAGAAACAAATGACATCACATCATTGTCTTACTGTCAGACTACGCTGGAGGTGAACCTAACATTTGTCTAATATATTCTGAGGTGAGCTCTACTCTTGGCTTAGTTCGAGTGTGTGTGGCTGGTGGGGGGGGTTGGAGAATGGGCAGGGAGTGGGGATTGGTGGAGGGGGGAAGGAAGTCTAGAAGAGGAAGAAAGAGGAAAGGAGAGAGTTCATGGGAAGCAGCGGGTCTGCCCTCCCTAAAGACACGAGGCCCTGAAAACTGGTCTAAGCTACGTTGGGGAAGGAGGACTGTCCTAATGAATAGTCAGGTTATAGGCTGTATTGTGATCATTCTTCTTTAAAAGGTCCCAGAGAGTTTTGCTTGTTAAGAATTTACTATATGGTAAGACTAAGCAATTGCTTTCTGAAATTGTATTGTTTCTGAAGTGAAACAGAATTAGATTGATAAAAGCAATATTATTGATTAAACTTCTTAGCAGAATTAAGAAGAATTTACAAAATGTCCTAATGTTGGCAATACATACTCATACATTTATGAGTGAAGTGATAAAATGTCTGATGTATGGGATTTATTTGTAAATAGTCCAGAAAAAAATAGATGAAGGAGAGAGAAAATAAGATCAGCAAAATGTTGGTATTTTTTAAAGCTGAATGAGGGGTTTATTCTTCTGTTCTACTTTTGGGTATGTTTGTTAAATTTCTGTAATAAGAAATGTTGTTTTTTGTTTTTGTTTTAAGTTTAAAAAAGGAAGGAGAAAAAACTTAAATACAGAAATTAAAAGCATTGCATCTTCCAGGATATAACAAAAGTAGCTTTTTGTCTGTAACCAGGGTTAGCATTTCACACAGCAGTGGTTGTCAAAGCGTAGGCCTCTGGGCTTTTCCATGGAACCAGGCATTGTCCAGGTCTTAGCACTGTGTGCAGGGAACTGAATCTATTTTCCCTAATGTAATTAGTTATAGGAGTGTTTATGCTCTGGGGTAGGGGGCACAATGACTTCCTCTCTTTTCTTTGGGGCATAAGTATGAAAATCAGGAGTGGGATGGGACACAGGATACTGCTTCCCAGGGGCATTCATTTTGCCCTGATAGGATCCTCCTCTCCCCAACCCCCAGGGACTGCAAAGGTTCCATGGGGCTTTTGCCTAGCTGGAGTGGTCCCCAAAAGGAAAAAAGTTACTTCCTTGGGTAGCTATAGAGTGCCTATTCCTTTTGGCCAGGGAGCAGCAACGAGTCACCTGGGGTCCTAGGGGGCGTGTCGCTTTCTTGCTAACATGGAGGCGAGCCTTGGCCAACTCCCCTCGACCACTGGTTGCACCACAGTTAGTTCTGTTAAGCAGAAACAAATTGTAAACTTGTTGACATTTTGGTCCTCTTTACAATGCATTGTTTATTTTTCCATGACTGAGAATTTTGATGCAATTATCACTGAGCTTTCTGACAAAAGGGAAGTAGCTGAGGAATTTTGATGAGTTACCCACTTCATTAATCAGAACAAGCATCTCTAGTGACAGGGTTAGAATTACAATGAAGATTAGATAGCAAATTGCTGTTCCACCTAACGTCAGTCATTCTCCGTGACAGCAGTGTGATTACACTTCAGGGAAGAGCTTTTCTTGCCAACAAAACGAGGGCAACTCCAGTGCAGGTAATAAATTTAGCAGGGCGAGCTGTCATTTCTTCTCTTGAGTGGAATCCTTAACGTTATCAAGTGATGTCTTATAGAAGATTTTGAGACGAGAAGAGCATTTCCCTTTAAAAACTTTCAAATTTCACTTTGTAGTATTTGACTTTATAAATTATTAGAGGTAAGGTATTTAGGAACAGTTCTTCCCACCGTGATTTTCAGTATTTTACTTACCTGTAGGAAGCCTTAATTTTCACTACCACCACTATGTTAAAGGGATGTGGAAGTTAAAATCCATGACTATATGTGAAAATCCTTCAGAAATAAAACATGGTGCAGAAATAAAGGAACTAGGTAAGAAAGGGAGGGAGGTCAGCCTAGTCATCCAGCTAGTTAAAACATTAAATTCTGAAATAGAACTCATTAAATAGAATGAATTAAACAGTGTATTCCTCTTCCAACCCGATTGTGCTTTTAAATAATAGTTCTTGTTTCTGAGAGCAAAAGGATAGAGCAGGGTTGTCGCTCCCGAGCGTAGTCCTGAAGAGGAGAAGCAGGCCTGGGGACAGCAGGGACTCGGCTGGGGGGAGGGGTAATAGAAAGAATAAATAGATCATGACTATGGAAGTATGCCACTTCTCATCCCTTCTAAATAAAAGCAGAGTGCTAGCATCTTCCAGAGAGGACAGGACTGAGAATATTTTCCTTTCCCAAATATTTTCCTCCAAGCACATTTATGGGACTCCTGTTTGCCTGAATAACATTTGCTCTGAATCAAGAATAAGTGGCTATTCTTGGTTCACACTTGTATTTTTTTCATTTAAATTTTAATGGGATTGCTCTTTTGAATAGGGAGGAAAAACCGGTAAGTTGATTTCAAGAAAGCAGTTGCTATGAGTCTGTCACTTTGCTGTTACTAACTTCTATGTAGTGAAACTGAATTATAGACCTTTAAAACTGATCATTTTGCTTTCGAAGTCTAAACTTAACTATTTTAAAGAAATATGTTGACTATAGCATTTAGGAACTCGAATTTTCCCTTCTTAAATTCAGTTATGTTCTAGTGGTGCTCTTGTACCATAGTTAGTTATGTACTGACTTCTTTCTCTTTCGGTATAAAAGAAGCAGAGATTTTGCCCTTCGTTTTTAGGAGACTTTTTGCCTAATAGATTAGGTCATCAGGATGCCAGAATGTTTCAGTTTTAGCCTTAGGTGTACCACTAACTTTTCACTCTGTGAATTTAGTCATTAACCCTTGTTAATGACTTGTTACCCAAGTAACATCTCTACTTGAAGTTCAGCTTGGTAAGGTAAATCATAATAATATCTGCGGTCTCTCTATTTTGCAATGATGGTCTACAAATTAATAAAATAGGTGCATGTAATATTGTGCTTACAGTAATGCCTTGAACTTAATAGACAATGTAGAAATCCAAGAAGCATGCTATTAATAGTGTTATTATTGTCCAGGTGGATTATGTTTATACTATTTCATCATTAGAAATATTCCAGGAATTAAAATTAGAGATAGCTGTACATCAAGAGGAGTCTCTTAAATGAATCTGGTAGACAGAGGATATTTTCTTTTGACTATGGCACACAAGTTAACAATATATTTTTTTCATGCTTTATTTTGTGGGTTAGACAGGCAAATAATAAGGCAAAAATTCAGCCTGGCAGCTATGTGTCTTTGCCTTTTTATGACTGCAGCCATATCCTGTATTCAGCAAATGTCCCTTCCTCCCACCCTCCCTCTCTTCTCTTCTTCCCTCACTTCCATGGGATCTAAGGTGAAGGTCTAGACAGTACACCCTCATTTGACATAATGGAAAGGGAATGAGAGCTTTTTAAAGTTTGCCATGGTTTCTCCTAAAAAATAATAATAAAGAAGATTCTGTAATTTGTCTAAATGGGAACAGAACTGAATTCTTGTGAAAGAAAACATTCCTAGCCAAATGGGCTATTTCTAAGATCTCTAACATATGCTCCCTTAGATTATTAGTCTTTTAATTTATTTGCCCTCTTGATTTTCTTCACAGTTCCCCAATTTAAACCCAGTGGTGGCTGCTTACTAAATGTTGAAATAGTGAAAGATAAGTGTTGTTACACAGATAGAAGCAGTAAATAACAGCTGACCCTGGTAGGGCTAGCAAGTGCTTGAAGCTGGTCATCAGGCACCCCCTCTGTCTCCCACAGAGTCACTTTCTATGAGGTTACTTTCTATTTTATTGCTATCAACACTTGGTACAACTCTCAGATTTGCCATTTCCATTCATGGGACCCAGCCCCTTCCTTCTGGAGGTTCACAGTCTAGTGGAAACCAGTAAACAGGTGGTTATAATACAGTGTAATGAGTGTTTTGATGGAAAGCAGAGGTTGCTCTGGGAACATAGTGGAAGAACACTTATATTTGGGGAGAGCAGTTGGTAACAGGAGAACTTCCAGAGAGAAGTGAGTCCTGAAGTAGTCAGTCAAAGAAAGGGCAGAAAAGGAGGACCAAGAAATTAGTATGAACATAGGAAAGTGTTAAACAGTGTGGTTGATGTAAGGCCAAGAGCTGAAAGTTATGTGATGTAGTGGGAACATTAAGTTTACCATGAAGGTAGGAGATGTAGGCAAGGGCTAGATCTCAGAGATTCACTAGGACCATGAGTAAAGTTCTTCTCTAGGGACATCCTTAGGCTCAGTAGAACCGTCTTACTTGTTGTCAGATGCATGTAGTGGACGATCCCAAGCATCCTGAGCATCTGGTCTCTCTAGGCACTCATCAAAGCTCTGTCATGGTCAGTGGTGGCGCAGCTGAAGCTGTTGTTTTAGCTGTCTTGTTTCCAGGGACCAGAGTCCCCCATTCTGTCTTCATGGGATCTTCCATGTTCCTTTGTGCAGGACATCAGCAGCGTTAGTAATAGGAATGAATTACTCAGGTAGTATTTAAACTCCAAGACAAGCTGGCAAGCCTACTGGAAGCAGGTGTTTCAAGCTTTTCAAACGAGTCCCTTAACTCGGGTCTTCGATGTGACTGTTACTTGGGCTCCCCCATCGGACTGATGCCTTACAATGAGAACTAAGTATTGAAGTTTAAGTCATGAGCCCAGGAGTACCTCAGCTGCATGACTTGAATATTTGTCGTCATTATTAGCAGAAAGCAATTATATTTTGCTCCCCTTCCATCAAGACAACAGTTCCTAGCTTTGTTAGAAAAAGTGTGAGGGGGAAATCTGAGGTGACAGCTCTCAGTATCAGATATTAGAGAAACTAGTGCTCATCCGTGGTGATTTTCCACATGTTTCCATTGCAGTGTCAAAAACGGTATTTCTCTGCCTGGCACAAGCTGATCCTTGATCATAGGATTAAGCTGGGAAAAGCTGGGACCCTGTCCAAGTGGAAGTTCCAACTGAAGGTCCTGCGGGCCTGGAGAGACTACACAAGATCCCAGAAGTTGGCGCGGGAGACTCAAGCCATGCAGAGTGACCTTAGGGAAGAAAACAGGTACTGTTATTTGTATCATGAAAACCCTGGTGTGTTTAGGACATTTTTTCCTCCTGAAGAATTCTGAAATAAACTCTAAAAAGTACGTCATCCATTATAAAATGTGGTAATCCCTGTTTTTCTGTATCACATCCCAAACTAGAAAATTTTAACTGAAAAATGTAAGCAAAAAAAATTTTAATTAAAATATGCTAATGTCCATGCTTTCCTTTTTGATGGAAGCAAGTATTATGCTTTTTCTCTTCTGGTGTCCTAGCATTGCCACCTTGGACCATCTTACAATTCAGAAGACAGAGTTGGGTTTATACGCCAGTAATTCTCATTGATAGAAATCCCTGTCTGCACACAGAATGTTAATTAGGGACACAGGGAACCTTCATCTAGGAGGGCAGACCTGCCAAGGTGATTTCTCCCACTCCTCCATCTTTTGTTCCACACCTTGTTTAGAGATTTTTGATACCTTTATATCAGCTCCCTCTTAGGCTTGTGAATGACATAGAATTTGTCTTCAAATAAAACTTGCTTTGTCCTATCATCTTAAAATTAAACACATTTTCTTCTTTTCATTTCCAAGTTCAACTTTGCACCCTTGAACCAAAATCATGGCTTTAAAAGGAACCATTTGTTTATTTGGGGGCAGGGACAGTTTATGTTCTTGTGTGTAATCACTTCTCTCACCGGCTACTCTGTTAGTCATTCAGGGTGAAAGTCGAATGAATGGTGTCTGAAATCATTGTTACGTAGAGGGAAATGGTGCCCCCTATAGTTGTGCAACCCTGTGACAGCATCAGGCCCTGGGGTGGATACACAGGAGCCTAATGCCTGGCCTCACAGTTCTGTGGGGAAGACAAGATCTAGAAATAGGACAGGTGTTGAGCAGCATCATAAACTGCACAGTGCATCCCCTCTGTTGCTGAGAATTTAGCAGAACGAAGCGTCGCAGGGATTGAGGAGGCTCCTACAGAGTGCCAGGAAGGGCTTTATCAGGAAGGTGGGTCATGAGCTGGACTCTGTACCATAAGTAGAACGCTCCTAGGTAGGGACGAGGAGATGAGGTAATGGCATGTAGTGTAGCCATCCAGGTTGGTTGGAAGATCATCCAAGTATGTGGTTCTCAAGTTCATCAACCTGTGAAAGGCCTTGAATGCCAAGACAAGGAGTTTAGGGATTCTTTGTTAAATAAAGGTGAATTCTTGACAGATTTTAAGCAGAAGAATGACCTAGTCAATTTCCTTTTCTTTACAGTATGCCAGGGGGAATCTTCAGTTGGGGGGAAAAAGGCAGCATAGAAAACTCTTTCCCATAATTTGTTTCTAAGTTCTCAGGACCCAGTAATTGATATAAGGAATTGGGATGATAGCCTACTGAAAAAGGATTGGCTAGCAGGATTTGCTGGATAAAGGAGGGAGACTGGAGGTGCTATAAAGGGGAAGCAACATGAGTGAGGGCATGAAGGGAGTGGAAATTGAGTGGTGAAGTTAAAAGTGGCCTGTGAAATTTATATGCCAGAAGAAACTTGTAGAAGAAAAATCTGAAGAACTTGAGATTTCATTCCAATTAAACTGTTTAAATATAAAAATCACTAAATGGGGATTTCATAATAGCATGATGTGCCAATTTTTATAAAGATCTTAGAACTTTTTGTCTCATATCTGTGAATTATTTTCAGGTGTCTATTTTTAAATGTTCAGAATGGGTACTACATTTTTTTTTAAAGTGCCAGAGTTAGAAAACACATAATAATTTTTTTACTACAAAACTTTAGAGCAAAAAAATCTTAGAGAGGGAAGTCACCTCAAGGATCGTCTAATCCTGCCTGTCATTTTAGAGATGTTAGAAGTAAGGTCTGGAGAGAGTAAACGAGGTGAGGTAAGAGTAGCTAATCCACGACTAGAGTCTGGTCTTTTTGATTCTGAGTCAGATACTTTTTCCTATACCACCCTGCTTCTGTGTTAAATGTTAAATTGCATCTAGGTGGTGGTTCCCTAAGACAGCCATATTTTTCAGTTATATGGCAATTTACTTTAGGTGGTTGCAGATGAAAAATAAAGTAGCAATTAATAAATAACAAGTCATGCCAGAAACATATGAGAAGAAAGGAGCTATTAAATACAAACCTCCTTTGTGCTGCTTTCCTGCAAATCCCTGGCTCTCTACATGTTTTTCTTTGTTCTAGAAATTAAGTTGGGTGATTTTGTTCCAAGAAGGTTGGGATATTAAAAGTAGGGAAAAAGCTCAGAGGTAGATACTGTGAGCAGAAACCAAGAAATGTCAGTGGGATTGAGAGTGTCTGGAGAGCCTCTTTTCTGTGTTTATCAGAGTTTGTCCTAGTACCTCAACGGACACCAAATATACATTTGTTGAATATAAGTGAGTGAATGAGTTCATTTGCTTCCTCTCTTGTAATTTAACTTGATAGTGTCTTCAAGCATTTTTTTCTAATAATGAGCTCAAGGAATATAATGGGTTACTCACTGTGGAAACTAAACTCTCACCAGATTGGCAAAACACAGGTGGTTCTGTGGCCTATCTACCTGCACATGGAAGTCATTTGCTGTGCCCATTACTCGGATGTCCGCTGTGTCCTCACCCTCCGGCTCCCATGTCCATGTTTGTTTTTGACACCTGGGGTTTTCCCCTCACTGGCCTGTCCCCTGTGCAAGGGCCAGCTTTCCTGGCTTCTTTCTTCCTTCCTGCCTCCCCTTCTTCCTTCCTTCCTTTCTTTTCTTTTCTTTTCTTTTCTTTTCTTTAATTCTCTTTATTTTCTTTTCTTCCTTTCTTTCTTTGTCTCTCTCTCCCTCCTATTTTTATCTCTCTCTTTTCTTTTGAAAGTAGTTATGGAAATGTATTATAAAATTTCAATACAATATCGTAATACAATCTCAACATTAACAAATATTCCCAGACCCTGAGAATTCACTTGCTTAGGTAATACAACAAAACCCTGGTGTACACACCAAGTTAGGCCCTTTGATGTGATGGTATTGGAATTTGAACTGTATTTTTATTTATTTATTTGAGAGAGAGAGAGAATGAGAGATAGAAAGCACGAGAGGGAAGAGGGTCAGAGGGAGAAGCAGACTCCCTGCTGAGCAGGGAGCCCGATGTGGGACTCGATCCCGGGACTCCAGGATCATGACCTGAGCCGAAGGCAGTCGCTTAACCAACTGAGCCACCCAGGCGCCCTGAACTGTATTTTTAATTTGCTTGTTAGCATGTTCACTTTCAGAGCTGCCTTTAGTTCTTCCATTGCTCCTCTCTCCCTCTCTCAAATTTATGGCCAGCCCTGGATAAAATTAGGAAGAAGCGGGGTTTGTTTGCAGCATCCTCCCCCCAGCCCTTCCTGAGCCCCCGATTTCTCAGTTCTTCCCTGAGAAGCATCTCTGTCCTTCCCTTATTAACCTCCACATTGCCTGCAGTCCTGCCCTCTTGCACCAGAGCTCTGGGCCTTTCCTGGAATATGCTTTTATCTCTTCCCTTCGTCCCTCAAGTCCCTCGTGCTTTTTTACTGTGATCCTCAGTTGATGTTATCCCTCTCAGGAACCTTCTTATATTTTCACAGATGTTGTCTGGAAACAGTGCGCAAAATGTCAGTGATGGGGGCACCTGGGTGGCTCAGTTGGTTAAGCGACTGCCTTCGGCTCAGGTCATGATCCTGGAGTCCCTGGATCGAGTTCCGCATCGGGCTCCCTGCTCGGCGGGGAGTCTGCTTCTCTCTCTGACCCTCCCCCCTCTCATGTGCTCCCTCTCATTCTCTCTCTCAAATAAATAAAAAAAATCTTAAAAAAAAAAAAAAAAGTCAGTGATGGGGATTTGAGGATTTGAGGGTCCTGTGGCCAGCCAGTGAACAAACTGGTCCTTTGACATCCCTCAAACCATGGCATTCATTTGTTCACTTATTCTTTCATTCGGTTTGATGGAATTTATTCTTTCAGCCAACCAGCTTTACTGACATTTACTGGGTACTAGGCTCTCTCCTAAGTCCAGGGAGGGGGACTTGGAAAAAAGTGTTAAACACTTACCTTCTAGGAGTTTTCAGTCTAAGTGAAGTGAAAAATGGTACCCAAATACTAAAAATAATTACAACAGAAGGCACCATAAGAAAAATACTTAGGAATGACATAGACTTGGCTATCATGCATTATAATCCCCCGAGGAGCTTTTTAAAAATAGGAATTCATGGGCCCCATCTTCTGAGAGAGAGAGAAATGTGGCTAAGTAGAAGAGGGCGTTTTTTAATTTGGGGGGAAAAACTGGTAAACCAGCACATAGGCAGCTTGGCACATAGGCAGCTTGTGGGAGAGCAGGCTGGGGTGAGCCCACGTGCTAGCCTAGAGGTGGGGAAGCTGAGTTGAAAATAGACTATCAGGTATCCCCATATCCCCACTCCTTGTTTTAGCATTGTTTTGGGCAATCACTTATGGAGCCCCTCTGTGAATCATGTTCAGTGCCCTTCCCTCCATGCTCACCTGGGTATCCAGGCGAGATGCCAGAAACTGCATGGCATCCGAAGCTGGTAAAGCTCCTCATAGGTCTATCAGACAGGCAGGGGGCCCACACTTGCACTGCCTGGCTTGCTTTAAAACTCTTTCAGACAGAATCGTTGTTAGCTTCCACTCTTTCCCTGGGGGCTGCCTGGTGCGTTATTGAATGCATTAGCTTATCCATCCCTGTTCCTGTTCATCCCAAAGGCAGCTGTCCACCCCGCTACTGTTTTCGCATTCTGCGTCAGATTTCGGCACTCAGATCACGAGTATGTGGTTATTTATTTATCATTTCTCATTTCCTTTTAAAAACTTCAGACACTTTTTAGATATCTGGTGGTCTTGTCCTAAGATAGTGTTATCTTCCATGAGAATTTGTTCTATATATTCAGGGGTGTGTGTGTGGGTGTGTGTGTGTTTTAAATTAGATCTTTAAAAAAAAAAATCCTGTAGGACAGGCAATGTAGGTTTTGTTTTTTGTTTTTTAGGGTGATACCATTTTTAGGAGGAAACTGAGGCTTAGAAACTTCCAGGCGCTTATCTAGTGTCCCCTGTCTAGTTAGTATTCTTCTGACTTACAGGTTCTAGAACATGCACTTATCACTAAGCATCATTTGAGGTGTTGATTCTAAACAGCACAGTTCATATTTAAGTTTCTATTTAAACCTTTATATTTTATATTCTTAGGTGTGAGATAGTAGAAAATACATATTGGTCTCTGCCCCTGGTTTCTGGAACAGAGCTCCTAAAACCCATATAATTTCCTAAATGATAAGAGTACTAGGAACATCTCTTGTTCTAATATCTTTGACCTCTGCTCCTGACACAGAACTCCTGAAACCCTTGTAATTTCCTGAGTGATAGGAGTGTTTTTTGTTCGAATGAGATAGCTCTGGGTTGGCTCCTGGGTGGCTCTTGGATGAGGGTTGGTCACCAGAAAGACCAAGCCATGATCAGAAACTTGGAATTTTTGGCCTTGCCCCCCATTCTCTTGAAAAAGGAAAGGAAAGGAAAAAGGAAAGGCTGAAGGAGTTAGGAAAGGAAAGGAAAAGGAAAAAGGCTGAAATGGAGTTAACATCAGTAATAGCTACATGATGAAGCCTCCATAAAATCCCAAAAGTACAGGGTTCAAGGAACTTCCAGGCAGGTGAACACATCCACACCCCAGGTACATGGGGACAGAAGCTCTTGTGCTCAGGATCCTCCCATACCTCACTTTACGCATCTCTTCATCTGGCTTTTCATCTGTATCCTTCATCATGTTCTTTAATAAACTGGTAAACATAAATGTTTCCCTGAGTTCTGTGAGCTACTCTAGCAAATTATCAAACCCAAGGATGGAGTGGTTGGAACCTCTAATCTATAGCCAGTTGATCAGAAGCACAGGTGATAGATAACCTGGGTTTGTGACTAGCATCTGAAGCTGGGCGTGAGGGGAGTCTAATGGGACTGAGCCCTTAACCTGTGGGATCTGACACTGTCTTTGGGGTAGATAGTATCAGAACTGAGTTGAATTCTTGGATACCATGCTGCATGTCCAAGAGTTAGTTGCTTGTTGGTGTGGGGAAGAACCTCCACACATTTGGTGACCATAGTGCCAGAAGTGAGGTGTTCTCTGAAAGGGTAAAGGAGACACACAGGAGACAAACACAGTGGGGGAGAACCAGGTTTTTCCCTGCAGAGGAAGGAGAATGGAGTTTTTCCATTATATTTGGTCTTTAGGGACAGCCTTTCTGTGCATGCAGTTACATAACTGTGATGATCAATTTATATACTCTTGTCAGAAATTCCCAGATTTCAGCTTGGAAGCATCTTGGGACAGGGTGTTTTCCATAAGGGAACTCTGTCCTTCATTGTATGATTATCTGGGAACTGTGTCTGAAACCATTTCTTTTGGTTAGCATACCTAATTATGTATCAGATTGAGGTTTTAAGAAGTTTGAGTGATTTTTCACTTTCAGAAATATTTATGTTTTTAGTGTCATCTTTTAAAAAGTATGGAAACTAGCTTATTTGGAATATTATCACTTTGCCGAAGTGAACTGCAGAGGAGCAGGAGTAAAACCAGCCTGTGTCTGGATCCCTAGCTTCTGCATTTCTGCTCTTCCATCTCAACGCACAAATGTAGATTATCTCCAATACTGTGAAATCCCCTACATAACCACTATAGAGCATGCAACTTTTACCTCTTTTCTTACTGTTTAGTCTTTTTGTTATAGTTGCAGAAATATTTTTCTCTTTACCTTTTTATAGCGTCCAAATAATCTCTTCCATAACAGTTGAAACCCTAGTGCTGCTTTTGGCTGTTTATGCTCTAAAAACATGAAATTAACACATCAGGTAAATTTCACACTCCCCCTTCCTGAGCAGATTGATGTAAATTGAATTTCACATTAATCAGACAGAGCAGTATACATCTTCTGTCCAGTGGAAATTTATGATTTTCACTTACTTAAGAAAAGTGCTATAGGCTTTTTATTTGTTTCACTATTTAAACATTGATATTTTTGGAGCTTTTTTCTTACCTGTGTTGCTACCTGATTTGTTATCCTTATCTCCTCTAAAGTTTGTATTTTGAGGTTATTCAGTCCCATCTTAGATAATTTATTTCCATCAAATTAAATTCCATGTATAAATATTTATATTACCACTTATATTGTACTTTTATTACAAAAACTTCAGTTAATCAAGTATTAATTATAATTAATACAGTAGAGGGAAGCAATTAAATACAGTGAAATACACTGTTGGCAGAATTGTTGTTAGTGTTTATTCTGAATTTCACTATTTCAGTTGACTCTACTCCCACTAATTGGTTGTTTCATCCAACTCCTCTGACATAGGTTAAATTCTGTGACTTTAGAGTAGTCTTTTTCAAGCTAAGGGTTTTAACCCATTAATGGGTCCTGAAATCAGGCTCCAGATGAGCTGTATTTTTCAAAGAAATGGAATGGAACAGAAATTCCAGAACGCACCTCTGGTAGTAAGGATAGATATTGTTTGCTAAAACTTCTGTTTCAATTATATATACTTTTGTTTCATACACACACACTTAAACTTGTATATTGTGTCACAGTGTAACATTTTTCTTACTGTAGGTGCCAGTCAAAAAAGATTTAAGTCACTTAAGCATTTAAGAACTCTAGAAATGTTCTCCTGACTCATTGACTTAAGAACTTTATGATTTTTTTTTATATATAACCCCAAAGAGTCCATGAGGAGAGTTAACCATTAAGGGATGTTTAACAGAAATGGGTCTGCAAATAGTATTATAGAGAACTTATTTGAGTCACCTTTACAAAATAAAATCAAGTAGGTGTCTATACAATAGATTTTAAACCTCAAAACTGACCCCTGACGCAATATAATAAGTCCCAAGCTCTACACCTTCTTCAGGGACAGTAATCATCCACTTATAGAAAGAACTCAGAGACCTCCACAAAAATGTCTCCTAATGGAGATCCCTTTTGGGAAGGGAATGTAGCAGCTGGTTCCCAACTCCACTCAGTGATGTCCCCTAACATCATGAAGTTTCCAGGAATCAAAAGGAGCTCTTCCTTACAAAGAGAATGAACCAGATCCTCTACTGGACTGTAAGGGTGTGAATGAGTTCCATGAGAGCAAGTACCTTGTCTTTGACATGTCTTTCACACGTTTCCAGTGTTCAGCAGGTCTCCTCACAAGGCAGTGCTTCATTCATTCAGTTTAAGGGTTTGATGAATGAATCCTTTTCTTTAGAGATCCTGTCCCTGATCAAGTCCTTCTTTCATAAGATCCACCCTCATGGTTTCATACTGACTTTTTATAAGTCTTATACCTAAGTCGTTATTGACAGTTCACTTGTTATATCTTGTTCCATTGCCTTTCTCCAAAACCTCTGTCTTCCTTAGATTTGCAAGCATGGCTGAAATCTCCCTCACGCATTCATCCTTTTAAAAGTAGCGATTTATATGCCTATTTCTTTTGCTCCTTCCTCTCCAAAAGCTCTCAGAAACTATTTTGTGGTAATTTAAAAAATGTAATATGCCTCTGTGACATGATAGAACTCTTTTTTCTGAGGTAATCTCTTAAGGTGCCAACACCCTCTACAAGCAGACCTTTTGCACCAGGGAATTTGATAAAGCGATTCCATTTAGCTTAAATAGAAGGATATGCTGGATCGAAGATGGAACATTTCTGGGACTCCTTTAGACTTGTGTTTCATTTATATTACCAACAAACAAGCTGTAAATGGCTTTTTCTTTTTAATGGGAAATACTTTGTTGCTTAGAAAACAACAACTGGCCACTGAGTATAACCGGAAACAAGTTCTCCGACACCGCTTTACAGAATGGCAGCGTTGGCACCGTGTGGAGATCCTGAAGAGGGAGCTGGCTCTAACAAAGGAGGAAACTAGGAAGAAAATGAATGAGCTGCTGGAGGCGGCATCGCTAGGGAAACTGAGCACAAATGGGTCATCAGGCATCAGTCTACTTGAGAAGGCAGGAACTATGGTGCATCCGCCTATAAAAAATGGAGAGGTACATTGTTTTTCCTTTGCTCGGGCTTCTGCTTATTGAACAGTGGCGTTTGAGCTCCACACATGTATACAGCCTGGGTTATATCAGCCACTGTCAGATTGCCTTGCCTGGACTATCTAGAGGATGAAAGCTGTATACAGTGCACAAAGGTTACCTTTCAGTCAGTGTTTATTTTCTTGAACCGAATCTTCATTTTATATATCACATATAATCTTCGGTATACTTGAGACTTGGTAGGGACATAATATAGAGAGGGAATTTAAAACAACTAAGTGAAAGACTCCTTCAGGAACAGTTATATAAAGCATTGTTTATAACTCTTGAACTCCTCTTACTTGATCATCAGACATTTCCTATCTAAATGAGCTTGATTATATATATATATCACACACATACATTTAGATATACATTCATACACACATACATATATGTGGGAAATTTTTAAGTTTTTATTTTTCTAGTAAGAAAAATCATATGTGTTAATTATGGTAATTTGATAGGAGAAAATGACAGAGGAAAAAGCAAAGTAGCCTATAATTCCATCATCTGGAGATAACCACAGGTAACATGTTGAATAGCCATATAGTCTTTTCTCTATTCAGGCATATGCAAATTTTTCTCTGTAATATTTTATTTAGCTTTTAAATTTTCTTCAAGTTATTGAGGATATCTACTTTTTCATAATACATAATACAGAGAAAGTAGGCCATTTTTTTCTTAATAATAATATAACTATTCTGTTTTTTTTTTAAAGATTTATTTATTTATTCATGAAAGACAGAGAGAGAGAGAGAGAGAAGCAGAGGGAGAAGCAGGCTCCCAAGGAGCAGGGAGCCTGATGCGGGACTCAATCCCAGGACCCTGGGATTGTGACCTGAGCTGAAGGCAGACGCTCAACCATCTGAGCCATCCAGCTGCCCCCTATTCTGTCTTTCTAAAAAAAATTTGCAATTTCACATTATAACATGAGAATTTTCTATGTCACTAAATCTGCCACAACATTAGTTCCCAACTGACAGTAAACCACAGATCAGACCTGCAGAATCAGCATTTCTGGTTGTGGGGCACCTGTATTATTTTTTTTTAAGTTTCACAGGTGTACCTGATGAATACCCTGTGATTAAGGACTGCTATTCTGTGTCATCATTTTGTAATGGCTCTCAGATATTCAATCATGAACCCTAAGCTAGAATCTGTTTACCCTTTTCTGTATTGCTGGCCATTTAAGTTGTTTCCAGTTTGTCACTATTGCAAACAGTGCTTCAGTGATCATCCCTGTAACGAAATCTTTGCACACATACACTTTTACTTAAATGCTTTACTTAGAATAAATACCTAAAAATAGAATGCAAATTGCCTTTCTGGAAGGGTTATGCCAAAGAAATGCCTGTTTTCCTGCCTGGTTAACACATTTTTCATTGTTGCTAAGTTGATAGGAAAATATTTTCATCTTATTATTGCTTCAGCATTTGCATTTTTTTATTACTAGTGAGGTTAAACATTTTTTATAATGGCCATTTACATATATATGTATGTGAAAATGGATACAGATAGATATTTAGTGACTTGTCTATTCCTGCCCTTATACATTTTTCTACTTGGTGTATTTTGCAATTTTTTTTTCATTTTTTCATTTGTCTTTTTGGGTAATTTTTGGTGTTTTGGTACTCTACAGAGTTAAGTTTTTATAAAGTGAATCCTATCAGTTTTTGCTTTCATAATTGCACTTGTCATATTTGAAAAGTCCTTTGGAGAAGATCCTCTGTCCCCTCACCTTCATCCTAAACCCCTCCACATAATGCTATTGGGTACTTAACTCAGACATGTAAAATTAAATTGGGCACCAGAGGGGCCCCAGTCTTGCTTTTTACCATGATTACTGCCAGCAAGTAGGCTGGTTTTAATTTAAGCCTAGCCTCTCAGCAAAGGGGTATCATGAGGATCCTTATGGGGACTGATGTCCTCTAGGCAATTTATCTACCTTTATGTCAGTTAGATAATTTTGTTTCCATTAAGACAGCAGAGTCTTCTATCTTAAGAAATAGCTGTCTGAACCTTTTACTTTACAAAGTTACACTGTTACTATCTGTAAATTTTTAAAAAGTCAAAGTATTTTTTACTTGCATAAAACAGAAAAATTACTATGTGTATCTAGTGCATATATGTACCCACACAATGTATATATGTGTGTGTATATATATATATGACTCAAGAAATAAAAACCTTTAAATCTCTGAAGTTAACTCTGAAAAGAATTTTATAAAGAAAGGATATTATAAAAAATAGAGCAAGTGAAAATAAAAGGATGTAATGGACTCTCTATGTTATTAGATAAATCCTAATTTTTTCCAGAGTGTAGAGTATAACATGAACAAATATGATATCTTTAGTTAGATGCCCACTAATTATACAATCATAGGGACTCATGTACCACAAATGCATACATTATTCCTTGAAAATTTTCAAAACTATCAGATAGCTAATAGATGACTTTCGTTAATTATGCCAGACTATTCAGTCCTGTTCTAATAAGTACAATCTGCACCATTAAGCTTTGTTTCATTCTCTTATTTTCACCTTGAAAAGTTACCGTGATCCAAAAGAAATCTTTTTGCTATACTCAAGGCTTTTACAGTCTTGCTGGGTTAATAATGTACCATTATCACAAAATTTAAAAGGGCCTAAAACATATACCCTGCTTGATGCTAAATTACTTAAGCAGGTGTTCTCATGAATAAATGTCCATTGACATTTCTGAAATAGAAGGTTATTTTTTAGTCTTTAGCATGTCATATATCACATTTTTTACTTGAGCTGAATCTATAGGAAATATTTCCATCATCATGAAAAATATTTTTGAGTACCTTGGAGTGAGAAGCTTCTAAGATACAAATACTTCGTAGTATTTTTCTTCTTGTACCACTGCAGATGGCAGAATCAAAAGCTGGTTAGACCTTAGGCCATGGAATCAAACCATTCTAAAAGAGACATTTTAACTATGCGTTGTTTTGGCCAGGAAAAGTTTTTCCGATTAAGAATTCTGTTTCCTCCCCCTCTATATAGAACTTAAAATTGAGTATGATACCTCAGTCTATTAAATGAGATCCATTACATGATAAAGCTTTGAAAACTATTAAGCCATATGCTAAAATATAATATTATTGATCATATTCTTATGTAATGCAGATATTTGCCCAGTAATCCTGGGCTTACAGATATTTCCCACAGATAGTCTGGCAATAGTCTGGAGACTGTAAGCTTTTATCCAGGCTTTGATCCTGAGGATGAATGAATGAATGAATTAGAGAGTGAATACATAATTACATACATACATACCTTGTGATTAATTTATTAGTGGCAAGAGAGGCATTGAGAGAACAGAGCTGTTACTGATTTGTAAGGGTATTTGTTAGTTTCAAACATTCTTGAGGGAGAATATATCCTTCACCACAAAATTCAGAGTTAATTCATGCAGCTTAAAATTCCTGTAGTATGTACCTGGAGTAATCCTGCCTCATTCACAAACCAACTATCCAAATCAGACATTTCTAAGAGCACGGTTTTCTTATTGCACAGTCCTTTAAACAGCTGAGCTGTAACATGCTCCTTCTCTCTCAGGTGACTGCCGGGCCGCCTCTTCGGGAAAAGTCTCCCTCAGGGAGCTGTGATTGCATGCCCAGCCCCCACCTAGGAAGACCAACAAAGAGCGACTTGCAGGTTCCCCTCCAGCATGTCCCTCTGAACACATCCGACAACAAGCAGCACACGACCAGGGATGTCGAGCCCTCCCAACAGCCTGGAAGCAGCAAGAAGCTCAGAACCACCAGCCAGAAAGCAGAATCCATTTGCATCGGTCATTTCCACAACCGCCATGTCTTCCAGCAACAGTTGATTGAAAAGCAAAAGAAGAAACTTCAGGAACAGCAGAAAACAATTCTGGAGCTGAAACAAAGCCAACGGCTGGCAGAGGCTCGGTGGGCCGCAGCAGTCACAGATGCCCAGAGCTGCCTGCTATCAAATCCCAGAGGAAAAGAACCCAAGAGAACCTGCCAGGTGCTTCCAAAGTATGTCCACTATATCAGAACATGCTTTGGACTCATGATTTGGGTTTTTTCACCCTGTGGTAGAGAGGCCCCTGAACCTCTTTTGCCCAGCTTCCAGGCTCCATGATCTCTCCCTTTCTTTTATTGTGTACTTTCAAAACAAAGAAGCCCCCCTACATTGTGATTGGTCTGTGACAGGTACTAACAGTATTTGAGGCAACCGGTTACCTGTGAATTATACACTTAGCATTTGTGTTGTGCTACCTTTGAGGAGCTCTGTTACTATACCAGTAAAAGAGAACAATGCTTACATGCTCTACCTCAATTTCTGGGTTTCTGATTATGTTTAGTTCTGAGAAGCCGGGTTGTACTTATGTCAGGTACAAATGGAGCAGCCTCTGGGCTGGCTAATTACCTAGCTTAAATTTGTAGTTGTTTGGGATAAAAGTAAACATCTTTGAGGCTAGAATAAGAGTCCAAATTTCTCAGAAGCCACTTACTATGATTTCAGATGTGTTTGAGACATACTCAATACATGTGATAAGGATAAGAAGTGGGCGATAGATACCCATTGATTTGAAGCACTGGTATGGGAGTCAGAGCACCTGACTCATTGCAGACTCTGGCCAGTCACTCAGCCTTTCCGTGCCTCATTACACCAGTAAATCGAGTTCGTTTAATACATAGTTATCTTAGAGAGTAAAGATTAATTAAAATGTATGAAATGCTTTGACTTTCTCAGGTTCAAGAGCTTTGAACAGAGTTGGTTATTGTTCTGAATTCTTTTCCTTTTTTTTTTTAACCCCCAGTTCACCTGTTGCTGCCCCTGAGACTGATGGTAGAGGAAGTGACTCCCCAAATTCTCTGTCTGGACCCAGAAGGAACCCAAGGCAGCTGATGGCATCCCACCCCATACTGAAAGGCAGGGCAGTCTTGGTGGTGGTCTGGTGGTGGTTATCTTCCTTCCTGAAATAGAATATGCTAGGACTGAATCCGGGAAACTCAGGTTTTGAGACTTGGCAGAACCTGGTCAAAGATGGCTGGACACGTGAGGAGTGCAGTGCACTAGAGAGTCCCATGCATTTTTCCTGCTCCTTTTGCCAAACTTTTTGGCCTTCCCAAAGAATACAAAAAAAAAAAAAAAAAAAAGTGGCTGAAAGGTATATCATTTTGGATTGGTTTGGATTATGAGAAAAAACGGGGCAGTTACACAAATGAGAAAACTCTTGAATAGCTGCTAAGGACAAACATTGATAAAGATCACCTATCACTGTACTTCGTTAACCTTAAATTATCGATCCATTTATAGCAATCCACATCATTTTATGAGTTGTACCTTGATGATAGGCTTTTAGTAATGAAATCTACAAATCAGACATTTTAATTTAATAACATTTTTGAAGCATGTAGAAATCACTATTTAGGGGCACCCTGGGTGGCTCAATCAAGCGTCTGCCTTCGGCTCAGGTCATGATCCCAGGGTCCTGGGATCGAGCCCCGAATCGAGCTCCCTGCTTGGCGGGAAGCCTGCTTCTCCGAACCCTCCCACTCCCCTGCTTGTGTTCCCTCTCTGTCTGTCTCTCTGTCTGTCAAATAAATAAATAAAATCTTTGGGGAAAAAAAAAAAAGAAATCACTATTTAAACCAAACAATACTATGAGAAGAAAAGCATTCGCCACCTAGTGAATCTACTAATTGTTTTTACTGTATACGTAGTCATGCACTGTGCATATATTTGTGTATGGAGGTAGGCACGTTGGCAATTATATTGTGGTTATAAGTCTGATTTTTCACCTTCGGCAAGATTGCTGCCCTTAGAAGAAGTGATGTCATCTGAAGCACGTTATGCCCAAAGTCGATTCCTTTTAATGAAGAAATTAGCAGTCTTTGCGTCGACTCTCTGCCAGGACAGCAGTTTATGCCATCTTTGCCTACCACTGAGGATGATCAGGAAATGCCCAGTTCAGTGTGGTTATTTTTTAAAAAATTATTGTTTGATCAAGGAGTTACCATATTTTAGAACTCCCAGCTACTTTTCAAGTGGTCTTTAACGATTAACTCTAGAAAAGACGGGAAACACGCTTATTACTGGAGACTCTGCCTCTCAGGGCTCTCACTTTATTTATTTATTTTTTTAAAGATTTTTTTTTTTATTTATTTGTTTGACAGAGAGAGATACAGCGAGAGAGGGAACACAAGCAGGGGAAGTGGGAGAGGGAGAAGCAGGCCTCCTGCAGAGCGGGGAGCCCGATGCGGAGCTCGATCCCAGGACCCTGGGATCGTGACCTGAGCCGAAGGCAGACGCTTAACGACTGAGTCAGGGCTCTCACTTTAATCCTTTAGTCTGTTTCTGCCTCTTCCAAGACAGCCTCACTGCCGCCATCTGTGGCACCCCCTCTCTTCTTTTTTCAGCAATGCAAACACTTAATATCTGTAAGAAATAGCCTGGTGAGTTTTTTGTTTATTAATTCTTGAAACTTGGACTTAAATTTTCTTCTCTGTAACATGGCACAAGGAAGCAAAAGTAATTACTGGCTGACTTAGGTGAGCAGAACTTGATACTCCTCCCACCCATTCCCCTCTTCCTGTAAAAGCCCCGACTGATGACAGAGTCATATTTTCAGACCATCTTGCACATTTGCTTCTTTTGGATCGATATTTAATAGACTGTCAAGAACAGGAGTCTGACACTTGAATTTGTTCAGATGCCAGTTCTCCAAATGCCTAGTACAATTCCATTTCCTGCCCATCTGGATATCTATCCAGGCCTTAAAACTAGATTTTAATGTATTCATTGTGACCCTAAACTTTAGTTTGTTGTTGTTGTTGTTGTTACATACACAGACATATGTATAATGACTTAGGAAAAAATAGCAGACTCAATGGGATTTGAAGACTGACTGTACTGTCAAAGTATTTGTTAGATGTAATTAAAGTTTTCTCCATTCATTAAAGAATTATCAAATTAAAATTCTGGTTTCTGGGTTTCAGTAACAAAAGTATCATCGAGGCATATTATCTTATTTAAACCAGTGAACAGTTATTCTAATAGAAAAGTAAAAACAATTTGCCAGTTGTTCATCACTGCTGAGGGTAGGATGGTAGGTCTTTAACCCATAGGGGGTATATAAATAACATATATATACTTACATATTTATAAATACAACTACAACTTATATTTTTAAAATATAAATTTTATATTTATATATTTATAAACAAACGTTTCTGAAATTGTAAACACTCAACTTGCAAGAAAACCCTAAAATTAACACAAAATTTTGCTATAAAATGTGGAGACATTTCTCTTGCTGTGTTCCTTATATTGTTTATATTGGAACTCTGTTACTATTTTCTAGCCATGGAAGAGAGAGCAGTTCAGCGAGCTGAATGTAGGCGGATCTTGGCAGAGAGGAAGAAGAAACAAGAAGAGGAGAAATTGGTAAATCAAGAATGAAATCTGAGGCAAGAAAAAGGATTTATATAGGTCTTTATTAAAAGAAATGAAGCTTAGGGGTTCATGGGTGGTTCAGTCGGTTAAGCGTCCAACTCTTGATTTTGGCTCAGGTCATGATCTCAGGGTCATGAGATCGTGAGCCCTGCATCAGGCTCCACGCTGGTCATGGAGCCTGCTTAAGATTCTCTCTCTCTCTCTGTCTCTCCCCGACTCTGCCTCTCCGCCCCCCCCCCCCAAAAATGAAGCCTAGCTTAAGTGTCTTGAGACAATCAAGCTAGATCAACTTCAGAAATAGCTTTTTATCCACTGGCCTGAACTCTGGAAATTTTAGGAAAAGAAAGGGAGAAAACAGTAACACCATTACTATAGCAAGACGGAAATGTTATAAAAGTTGATGGGAGCCAGCAGTGAGGAAGATTTACACATTTAGATTTAAATGTCCAACCTGATAAGTTGCAAAGGTGAGTAGTTCTTGCACGGTTTTGACCTAGACTGTCAAAAACAAATTTTATTATCTACTAAGAAAAATACACAGTTCCAACAGTTTGGGGGTTTTTTGTGTGTGAAACGAAAGAAAAAATTTTTCCTAGGCTCTGTGGAGTTTGGACTTAGTATTTCCCAGGTAAAAATAACTAAAAAGGAATCATTATTTGATGAAAAATTAATGTTTCTTTCTTGCTCAGTATCACCTTCCCAAGTAGAAGAGGATTCTTTCGGAGAAACTTAAGTTACAGAACTGACCACCTGTTGGTTGGATTTTCTACTTTTATCAGGAAGTATTGGCTTCTTTCAGAGACAGGACAGGCACTCTTGGTAGATACTTGACTTTCCTCAACGTAAAAAATCTTCCATACAAACATAGTGTTCTTATTTTTTCCTGACTCTCATCTTGACAGGCCCAGTTAAAGGCCCAAGAGGAGGAGCGTCAGAAGAGGGAAGCAGAAGAAAAGGAGGCTCAGCTTAAGAAAAAACGAGAAGAGAAGAGACTGCAGAAAATGGTTCGTAGAGTCTGTTTGGTCGGTCACCTGCTTAAAGCCTATTGTGTGCAGTACCGTGGCCCTGTGCACCTTCTCCATTCCCGAACTTCCCTCCAGAACACTCTTTTCGCACCTCCACCCTTTCACCCACCTTAGTGAAAACCTGCGCATTCTTCAGATCATAGCTCAACATGGCTTCTCCCAGATGAGCCTTTCTTGCCTTGTACACTCTCTTCTCCACCCAAGGTTAGGTTATGTTCCCCTTTGTGGATTCTGAAATATATTTCCTTCAAAGCATTACCAGGGCTTATAATTATGCATATGTTTTGTGGTTGTCTTACTGATTTCAGCATCTCGAACGGAACTGGAATCTCCTTGAGAGTAAAGGGAGCAGTCTGGTGTTGCTCACTGTTGTATTGATGAGCAGTGTCCCTGACATATAATAGGAACTCAGCAAGCATGTTGAATGAGTGAGTAAGTGAATGAACAAATAAAGTAACAAATGGAAGAAAACACCCAAGAAATAAGAGATAAAACTCTTACTTTCAAGATTATTACATTCTAGTTGGAAAGATAAGTCCTAAATATGCACACCTGTCAGACAATATAGTACAACACATGTTGTCTTGTGCCCCAAAGAACGAAGAAGGAGCACCTTGGTGGTTCAGTCAGTTAAGCGTCTAATTCTTGATCTCAGCTCAGGTCTTGATCTCAGGTCATGAGTTCAAACCCTGCGTTGGGCTCCATGCTGGGCGCAGAGCCTACTTAAAAAAAAAAAAAAAGACCAAAGGAGATCAAGAGAGCCATAGAAGGCAAGACCTATAAAGATTGAGGGGATAGAGAGACATTTTCATAGAAAAGAGATTTGAATTGGAAATTGTATTAGGATTCTCTTACAGAGAAACAGAAGCAATAAGTTGTATGTGTAGGAAGAGATTTATTACAAGGAATTGGCTCATATGATAATAGAGGCTGAAAAGTCCCGCAGTCTGCCATCTGCAAGCCCGGAGACCAAGGAAAGCCAGCAATGTAATTCCTGTCCTCGTCTGAATGTATGCCATAAACTCTAGTTCAAGGATAGAAGACCAATGGCCCAGCTCAAGCAGACAGGCAGAAAGGAAAAGGGGGCAGATTCCTCCTTCTGGTTTTTGGGTTTTTGGGGGGGTTTTTTGGTCCTACTTAGCTCTCAAGGAATTGGATGATGGCCACCCACATTTGGGAGGGCAGTCCCACAGGCTCCATGGATTCAAATGCTAATCTCCTCCCAAAACACATTCACAGATACACCCATAAATCCAGGCACCCTGTGGCACATTCAAGTTGGCACATAAAATTAACCATCACAAGTCTACCCCTTATCAACTTGGCACCCATACACATCTCCTTAAACCATACTTAATCTCCAAATAAAGACAAGATCATAATTCTGCTTAACATGATTCAACTATCCTGCATACAACCAAAAACGTACTAACCCCTTCCCCAGAAGAGAAGATAAAGTCCTTGAATGATGTTTACTCTTCTCATTGATATTCCATAACTTAAATACTCTGATGTAAAATTAAAAATACTTAAACACAATGATACAAAGTCAATACATCTTATATTACTATTCATTGTGGAACATTTGAGAACTACAAAAAAAATGGAAAAATATGAGCTCAGCAATAAGAGGTAACTAAATATCTTAGTATATTTCTTTTTCTCTAAGCATCTCTTAATAGATTGATAATTTGCAGGGGGGAAGGTGTATATAGTTTTTAATCTGCTTTTTTTGCGTTTAAGAGTCTCTCGTCAGTATTTTCACTTACCATTAAGAATTCTTCAAAACCTTTTTATTTATATGTTGAAGGTAAATTTTTTCTTTTTTTTTTTCAAGTTTTTATGTAAATTCCAGCTAACATACAGTGTAATAATTAGTTTCAAGTGTAGAATTTAGTGATTCATCACTTACATACGGTACCTAGTGCTCATCACAAGTGCCTTCCTTAATACTCATTATTTTTTTTAAAAATCAACTTTTTGTTTTGGTTTACTTAGGTTTATAAAGAAGTTGCGAAGGTAGTACTGGGAGTTTTCGTATACCCATCACTCAGTTTCAGTTTCTCCTTAATATTATCACCTTACATTACCATGGTGCATTTGTCAAAACGAAGAAACCAACATTAGTACATTAAGACCAGACTTGATTCAGATTTCACCAGTTTTTCAGTTTTTCTGACTTCTCATTGTGTCTTGTCATGGTGGAAGGAGGTAGGGAGCTTCATAGGGTCTCTTTTATGACAGCACATCCCATTCATGAGGGCTCCACCCTCATGACCTAATCACCTCCCAAAGGCCCCACTTCCTAACACTATCACACAGGCATTAGGATTTCAATATGTGAATTTGGCTGGGGGTGGGGGGGACACGACACATATTCAAACCATAGCACTTAATCTTTCCTTGTTTTTTATAGCCTTGGTAATTTTGAGGAGTACCTATAAGGTATTTTGTAGAATGTTCCTCAATTTGGGTTGGTCTGATGTTTTTCTTAAATTCTTCTGGGGTTATGGTCTTTATTTTAAGAATGCTACCTAGATGAAGGGCCCTCCTAATCTCATCACAGCAGGGGCTACATTAAATTAAGATGACTTGTATGGTGACTAACGTAACATAATAAAATAAGATAAAAAATAAATAAAAAGATGACTTATCTCTGGTGATACTTTGATGACTTGTGTAAGGCAGTGTTTGACACGTTTTTCCACTGTGAAGTTACTGTTTTTCCCTTTTCATACTCTATTCTTTGGAGGCGTTTCATTAAGTCTGGTCCACTCCCAGGGTAGGGAGGAGTGGAAATTAAGCTCTGTCTCCTGAAGGGACAGGTGTCTACACATATTATTTGGGATTCTTCTGTGAGGAAGATTTATTTTTCTTTCTCCATTGTTTATTTATTTTATCATTTACATCAGCATGGATTCATGAATATTTATTTTATACTCTGAGTTCTAAAAAATATTATTTATTTCGTGGCTCAAATTCTTCCCACTTTGGCTATGGGTTGCTCTTTAATGTTGGCTCCTGTGTCCCTCTGACATGCCTTCATCCTTTTTTGGTTTGGGGATGTTTTACTTTCCAACACTGTTCTTGTATTTTCACTACCCTAACCAAGATGCCCTGGTTCTAAATGGTATTTGGAAAGCGAGATCTGGGCAGTGAGTGTACTCATTGCTTCTGGGATGTCATTAATTCTAGCACCTCGGCAGAGAGAGCTAAGTAATATACATATGTATACTAAACCATGTACACACCTATCCATAATTATTTCTGTATCGATCCATCTGAGTAAACATTAGTATGAACATGAGTTCATACTAATATCTCTGGCTCTAATCCTGCATCAGATGATTTATTTTTCGCTTCCTTTCTTGCTTATCTGTAAGTTCCCTATTTGACAGTGTAAGATCTAGTTCCCACAATTCACCATCCACTTACCTAAGTCATTCAGCTCCCGTATACATGTAAAGCAAGTTCAGAACTGTACCCCCATGAAAAAATTTACCACCTGGAGTACAGTATTTATACAGTTTCTTTTGCTCTTAACCTTACGGTTTTCAATTAAAATTTGGTTTTCTAGGTCAGCTTCTATTTTTTCCCACCTCCTTGCATCATTTGTAATAAGTTTATTTCTTTTGCATATAGACGTTCAGTTGTTTCAGTATCATTTGTTGAAAAGGCTATCTTTTCTCCATTGAAATGCCTTTATACCTTTGTCAAAAATGAGTTGACCGTATTTGTGTGGGTCTGTTTCTGGATCTCTTTTCTGTTCTTTTATTCTTTATCTATATTCCTTAGCCACTACCACCTGCCTTTGATTGCTGTACCTTTATAGTAAATCTTGAAATTGGGCAATGTGAATCCTTCTACTTTATTCTTTTTCAGAATGATTTGGCTATTCTGTTTTCTTTGCCTTTTTATATAAGTTTTAGACTAATCTTGTCAATGTGTACAAAAAAAAAACATGCTTAGATTTTGATTGGGATCATATTGAATCTACAGATCAAACTGGAGAATTAACAACTTTGTTAACAACATTGTTTCTTTAATCTATGAGCATGGTATATCTCCCCATTTATTTAGATCTTTGTTTCATGAGTGTTTTATAGCTCTTCACATATCTTGTATATGTTTTGTTAGATTTATACCTACATACTTCTTTTTTGGTGCTATGATAAATGATGCTTTTTTTAAATTTCAAATTCAGTTTTTTCATTGCTGGTATATAGAACACAGTCCATTTTTTGTATGTTAACCTTGTATCCTGCAGCCTTGCTAAACTCACTTATTAGTTCTAGGCATTTTTTTGTAGATTCTTTGGAATTTTCTACAAGTTCTCTGCCAATAAAGGCAGTTTTATTTCTTCCTTTCTGATCTATATGCCTTTTATTTTTCTTGCCTTATTGAACTAGCTAGGAATTCCAGTGCAAGGTTGAATAGGAGTAGTGAGAGAAGACATCCTTGCCTTGTTCCAGATCTCGGGGAAGTTTCAGTCTCTCATCTTTACTGTCATATATGTCCTGTATTTTACTTTTATATATAATATAAATACCCAATACCTTCTTACTTTTATTGCTTTAAACAATTGTGTTTTAGTGTGACTAAAAATAACCTGGAGGCACCTGGGTGGCTCATTCAGTTAAGCATCCAGCTCTTGATTTCGGCTCAGGTCATGATTTCAGAGTCATGAGATTGAGCCCTGTGTGGGGTTCCATGCTGGGTATGGAGCCTGCTTAAGATTCTCTCTCCCTCAAATAAATAAATAAATCTTTAAAAAAAAAAAAAAAAGCTGAAGATTATAGTTTTTCATTTCTTTCATTTCTGATGCTCTTTATTTCTTTGTGTAGATCTAAGATTGTAACCTATATCATATTCCCTCTGCCTGAAAAACTGCCTTTAACATTTCCTGTAGGATAGGTCTGCTGGTAGTGAATTCTCTTAGTTTTCATTTGTCTGAGAAAGGTTTTGTTTCTCTTTCACTT